AATTAGAAGCAGAGGAAATTCAAGCTGTAGTTCATTTGGGAAATTGAGAATTGCATTCAATCTTCTTAAATTCTTTGCTGTGGCAAAAGCCCATCTCTTCAACATCAATATTTTCCCAGTGATGCTGCATGGCTGCAAATCACAGAACTCTGCAGTCTTGAAAGAATTAAAGTGATATACATCTCAAAAAACAGTAGAACAATGGAAAGAGGCCCAGTGAAAGCGTCATGTTATCAATGACAACTGGCATACAAGATATGGCATCAAGGGCACCGTGGAGGACATAGATGACTAGAAAAGGAAATAAGCCAGTAACATTTTGAGAATACAAGGTAAAAGAAGGGTAGTCTGAGGACTACACTGCTACCTCTAAAATACTCAAAGAACCAAGGAGAGTTTCCAGCATAATGATTAGGTGGAAGATCATAGAATCCTAGAATCCCTGAGGTGAAAGAAATCACCATAGAAGCCATCCAATACAACTGATCCTCATCAAATGGAGATTGGCTGAACAAGTTATGGCATATGGTTATGATGAAATATTACTGTGCTATAAGAAATGATGAGTTCAATGATCTTAGAAAGGCATGGAAAGACTTACATGAAATGATAAAGAGTGAAGTGAGCAGAACCAATCGACCACTGTATACAGTAACAGCAATATTGTTTTAAGAATGACTTTGAGCCACTAAGTCATTTTGACTATTATAAGCATACAAATTAAAGATAAAAGACATATGAAGAAAGATGCTATCTGCATTCCAAGAAAGAACTGATAAATAGAAGTATGTATGGAACAATTATATGTATGTGTATATATATGCATATACACACATATATATATATATATATACATATATAATATGTATATATGTATGCGTATATACATATACACCTAATTGTGTCTAACGGTAGCCATCTCTAGGGTGGAGGAGGAGGAGAAAAAAAGAAATTTACATAGTAACTTTGGAGGGAATAGCAAGTAGTGTGTGGTAGGTTTGCAGTTTCACATGCAATCATCTTTTTTATTGCATTGTTGTGGAATTGATTATTTTGTTCCATGAATTGAAAATAAAATAAATGTGTAACACAAAAAAAAAAAAAGAAATATTGCCCTACAATATACCCAACAAGAGTTGATCTGGCCTTTGCTAGTATATAGTTATAGTATACTGAAGATAGTATATGTTACAGTATAGTGAAAGGAACAGAAGGCCAAGGATAGAGCATTGGACTTGTCCATGCCTCGTGCATGGGAGAAAGATGACGAACCAGTGAAAGGTAATGAAAGGAATCAGGAGAGAAGTAGAAGAAGCAGCAGAATCTGAAAGACAGAATTTCTGAGTTGGAAAGAACCTGAGAGCATGCTTCATATAATGTATACCTGAAAAAAAATCCATCCTCTTTTACAACATACCTGACAAGTGGTCATTTGGCCTTTCCTTGAATATCTCAAATGGGAGTGAACCCACTGCCTCCTGAGGTAGCCACTCCTTTTTTGGCTACTTCTAACTTTTAGGAAGTTTCTTTTCTTCTTACATTAGGCCTAAATCTGCCTCTTCAACCTACAGCCAGTCCTCCCAGTTTTGCCTTCCAGGGCAAAACAGTATAAATCTTATGCCTCTTTCACATGACATGTCTTCAAACACTTGAAGTCAGCTGTCACATCCCCCTTAAATCTTCTCTCTCCTGCTAGTGCAGGAAAACATGAGTCTCATTGGATGAGAAGGTGTATGGGTCTTGGCAGGGAAGGAGAGACTGGGAATTTTCAAGCTACAGGCAGCGGCATCCTCAGATCACAGATCACTCACAAAGAAAGATTATTTTATACCCACTCAGAACTTGATTTCCACTGATGACTAGTAGGCTGGCTTCCTGTCCACATTTTATTTTGAAGTGAGGGCTTCCCTTCTTCCTTTTCAGTGAGTGAATTTATACTCTAAACGGGTTCATACTCATCATTCTCATTTGACATATTTACAAAGCTTGACGTTAGCTTGAGGGAGCATCTCCTATGTGCTTGTGAGAACCTTCACTGTTAAATTTTCAGTGTGAGCATTTATATCTCATAAATCCACAAACTCTATAAATCAAGGATTGAGTTATTATTTTGCATTGTTTTGTTGATTGTCTACACTTAAGAAGGTGCTGGAAAAATGTTAGTAACACAGATTAAACTTAGAAGTGTGTCATGAGGATTTTCTTTTCCTCCGGAGACCTGGTTAGTAAACATTTACCAGCACACCCCTGACTTCAGGCCTTCTTTTGTCCAATTCACATAAAGGAAAGAGAATGCCTATATTTTCCCCTCCCTGACTCTACCTTTCTTTACCTACTCAGATTCCTAACTGCAGAGAGATGAAGAAAGCATAGTTTTCTATGGTGGGTGATATTTCTTAAGGTGTAGGTTGTATTGGATGGCCTCTATGTTGAAGGAACAAGCAGGCCAATCCTTTGCTTCTCAGCCTGGGATTTTGTTGTTGTTGAGTCATTTTTCAGTTGTTTCTGACCCTGTGACTCCATTTGGAGTTTTCTTGGCAAAGATACTGGCGTGGTTTGTCATTTCCTTCTCTAGCTCATTTTATGGATTAGAAAACTGAGGCAAACAGGGTTAAGTGCCTTGCCCGGGGTCACCAAGCTAGTAAGTGTGAGGCCAGATTTGAACTCAGGAAGATGAGTCTTCCTGACTCCAGGCCTGGCGCTCTATCCACTGCACCACCTAGCTGCCCTTCTGGGCTGGGATTAGGCTTCACTGGACAGAACATCTAAAATGGCAAGACATTTTGGCATGGAACTCATAGACATGGGTTTTGGAAGGGTTGGTGGTTATTTATGGTGTCACTAATAGCAGGACAAGGGCAGAAGTTTGTAGTCATCTGACATACTTCACGTAGTCCAACCACTCCCTGCACCATACAGGTTCCCCTTAAGGCCACAGCCCCCAATATCCTCTGGAATACCCCAAGCCCCAACAATGACCAGCAGGGAATTCAAGAAAAACACAATCTATATACACTCATTGCATGACAGTATCAAAGATTTCAAGCTGAAAGGGAAATTTGGGCTCATCTACACCAGCTCCCTCATTTGACAGTTGAGGAAACTGAGGCCTCAGAGAAGTAAAGGGACTTTCCCAAGGCAGTAAGTGGCAGAATATAAGTGCTTTGACTCTAAATCCAACACTTCCCAGTTTGCCATGATGCATTTCATGAATTATAAGCTTGTTGTTAGGCTCAGATGTAAAGTGATTTGCAAACTATAATGTGCTTTATAAATGCCAGCTTTATCATCTCATGAGATCCTTGAAGACAGAATAAGTGTCTTATCTAAATATTTATTCCTGTCACCACCCCCACCCTCTATCATAGGCCCAAACCCTCATTCTTAGATATACCATACCTCTCACATTAAGACAAAGGTTATGTTCTCTAATGGCATCTTGAGAGTTTAATGTGGGGGAAGTGGTTTATAGTCTAAATAACTGGAACTTTTGTAGAAATAAATGGCCTTTAAAATTATGCTTTCCTGGAGATGCTCAATTCTTTAAGATCTCAAGGATCTGGAATTATGTTGGCATAGGTATTTCCTTCACTGGTGCAGATCTTAGCTCTAGGACTTTACTGGGTGATCTTCTAGAATTGCTGTGGCTGAAAAATCCACCACTCTCAGCTGTTCTGCAGACCAGCTTCTGTGAACTTAGCTAGGCTGGTACTCAGATGACAGAAATATAGCTGAACCAAGAGCCCATACATGAGGCCTTCCCATCTTGGTGTATCCCTAGAACTCTGCCTTTACTCCTATGTCTATTGGAGAGATTATTCTAGAAGAAGTGTTAACCCTTTCTAATCCCCCAAATAATGTTTCTATTTCATTATTAATAACATATGTGATATGGCATATCCTTCTCTGGGCATCTAGGTGGTATAGTGGATAGAACATTAGGCTTGGAGTCCTGAGGAAGACCTGAGTTCAAATCCAGCCTCCAACCCTGGGCAAATCACTTAATCCTGTTTGCTTCAGTTTCCTCATCTGTAAAATGAGTTGGAGAAGGAAATGACAAACCACCCCCAGTATCTTTGCCAAGAAAATCACAAATGGGGTCACAAACAGTTAGACACAACTGAACAATGACAATATTCTTCTATAGCCACCTCTATGATGTGACCAAGCATTGGAGTGAGATTTTGGTGGAGGTTCGATGGTTGAAGTGTCTTTAAAATGTGATTATGTCATAAATACTTAGTCTTTAAGGGTGACAAAATGTTTTGTATTAATTATTTTGGTTTTTACCCTTCACAATCATAATATGTGCAGCAGTTACTGCAATTGTTATTATTCCTATTTCAATTGAGGCTTTGACAGATTGACTTATTCATAGTCATGCAGCTAGTAAATTTAGTTCTCTTTTCACTACATCATGTGGATTCTCTCTAATAATAATAATACCTTGTGTCTATAGAGACCTTTACAGGCTATGAAATTATTTACATAGGCTGATAGATGTAAAGCTCGCAGGGGCCTCAGAGACCATCTAGTTCAATCTCCTCATTGATAAATGAGGAAATACAGATTGTGAAGTTGAAAGACTTGTTCAAGGTCACATAACTTATAGGCCTAAGATTTTATTGATTTGGATTTGAACTTAGGTTCTCTGACTCTAGAGTTATTGCTCTTTCCACTGTTCCAGAATGCCTCTACACATCCTCTCATTTTTATATCATCGGATCATAGCTAGTCCAACCCCCTACTTCAACAAATGAGGGAATTGGGGCCCAGGAGGATTAAATGGCTTGCCTCAGGTCATACAACCAGTAAGCATCAGGGATTGAGTTTGAACCTAGGTCCTTGGTCAACTCCTGTGCTGCATTGCCCCTTCACCCACCTCATTTGATCCTAGCAACCACTCTGTGAGGTAGACAGTGTATTCACTCTTATCCCCATGTCACAAATGAGGAAACTGATGCTGACAGATGTTAAGCAACTCCTCTAAGGTTAGCGGTTGAAGCCAGGCTCTCTGACTTTAAGTCTAGTGCTCTTTCCACTGTGTAACAAAGATTAATGAAGAGAAATCATGTCCTATTGTCCCTGGTAGAAAAAGCAAAGGTAAGGAACTCGTATTTCAGTTTGATCATACCATGAAGGAAAAACCAACCTTAAACACTTACTTTTTCCGCTACCAAGATCCCATGCCATCCAATTGACCTTGACTAGTTCCTTGAGTGGCAGAAGGTTTCTCAGCTAAGCTAGACATTGGTCAGGAACCATGTGCAAACTCATTAATTAGTAAGTGACATTACTGTCATCAGTGTACTAATTATTATTAGTAGTAAAATATTTCAAATATTTTAAAAGGTCCATGATTGCATTGATCTTGATATTCCCTCTAATTGGTTCAGATCTCAACTTCTCCATTCCTTCTCTTTTTGTGTGATCCACATCACTGAGAAATTGAGGAGCTATCCAATGTGCTAGAGGACTTGTGTTTTATGTATATTTTATTGTACATATGTGTACATGTATATACACATATATAATATACATATGTGCATATACACATTTATGAATTTATCTATAATTACACATCTCTTTCTACTTATATCTACATCTATATTTATATCTATCTATAGCTATAGCTATCTATCTCTATCTCAATTTATATCTATCTATCTATAGATGGCTGGTTTATCTCTTTGTTCTAGCCAGATATGTCATTGATAATACCTTTTCTATTGCTTCTCAGTTATAAATAATTGTTTATATGATGCTGCAGCCAGCTTACACCAATCATATGTCTTTCTACTATCTTTTGTAGCCCCTTAAAAACAATAACAATAATGATATTACTTTGAATTTATATAATACTTTTTCCTTTTCTAAATACTTTTTAAATAATATCTCATTTTATCATATTATAAGGATAGGAACTGGCTATGTTTTGTTCATATAGGGAACTCCCAGATGAGGACAATATAGGCTGACACCTTCTTTGCAACTTACAATCTTCAAGAGTTGCCTAAGGGAGCAGCTAGGTGGCACAGTGGATAGAGCACCACCCTGAAGTCAGGAGGACCTGAATTCAAATATGACCTCAGACCAAACACTTAACATTTACTAGCTGTGTGACTCTGGGCAAGTCACTTAACCCCAATTGCCATAAAAAAAAAAAAGAAAGTTGCCTAGAGCTGTGTTGTCAAACTCATATAGAAACAGTGGAAAGGTGGTGGTAGGACAGAATTAAAATGGCATATTGATTTAGAAAACCACATGTTAACATTATCTGCATTCTATTTTCATTTATTTCATTAAATATTTGCGAATTACATTTTCATCACGTTCATCCTAGATGTATGTTTGATATCTCTGGCCTAGAGCACTACAGACTTGACCAGGGTCACACAGTATACATCAGAGGCAGGATCTGAACCCAGTTCTTCCTAGTTTCCAAGCTGGCTCTATAACAAGTTTTAAATTTAAGAAACAAAATTGTACCCTAATCACAGTCATGGAGAAATGATTTAAATGTATCTTTTATTTAAGGGTCTGAGCTGGAAGATTTCCCTAAATTGTCACTTAAACATGGACTCTAGGGAAATGGATGAGCATTCTGAGTTTGTACTGGTTACAGAATCATACCTTAAACTGGCCCATATTTTTTCTAACTACTTCACACTATTCACATTATAATAAGCATGCATTCTTCACCTTTACTCACTTTTAAACCTCACTCCAAGCAAGGGAGATTATGAAAAAATGCAAGACCTTAAAAAGCGTTAATAAATTCAATGTAATTCAGGGGCCAGGTCGCAGAGGGGCAGAGGTGGCGGATTGACCCCGGCCTTGATGCTGTGTGACCCTGAGTCGGCCAATACCCTCTCTGGGCCTCAGTTGCCTCCTCTGTACAGTGAGAAAGGGCATCCGATGGCCTCCGCAGCCCTTCCTGGCCCACCTCGATGACCACCCTCCGCCCCATGGAGGGAGCCCGGCCCGGGGCAGCGCTGGAGCTGCAGCTGGTGCAGAGTCAATGTCTCCAGAGGGACCTCCATCCCTCCATCTGAGGGGCAAGGTCTGGCTGGTCAGGACTCCAGCCTTGCCACAGGGGAGAGAGCCAAGGGGCAGGAGGGCGTGAGTGGCAGCGGCTGGACCCAGGGCCCTCCCCACCAATCTTTCTGCTGAACATATACCAGTGGAGGTCAAAGACAGAAGAAAGTCTTCATATATGCAAAAAAAAACCCCAACATTAATAACAGCACTTTTAATGATAGCAAAGAACTGGAAATAAAGTTGGTACCCATCAGTTGGGGACTAGCTGAACTCTGGTTTATTAATATAATGGAATGCTACTGTGCAATAAGAAATGACAAACATATTCAGAGAATCATAAAAAGATCTATATGAACTCTTGCAGGAGGAAAAGTACCAAGAGAACAATATATAGATTGATCACAACAATAATACCAAGAGAATAGATTGAACCCAACAACGTAAATAGAACGCTAAGAGACAACTAAATTCTAAGTAGTTGTTAAAACAAATCTTAGTCTCAGAAAAGCCAATGAAGCATCAGAGAGGGAGCTAACCACAGATTTAGAGGTTTGTAGAAATTGTTAGATGCTGTAACTGTGTTGTCAGGTGTTTTTTTAACTTCCTATGCTTATTTCAAGAAGAAAGTTTAATTCTCAGGTTGAAGAAGCAGAGCAGAGGAATATCTAGAAATGATGGTTATATAAAAACAAAAAGAATACATAAAATTTTAAAAAATTCTATATATTCTACTTTTTGCTATTACATACATACATACAATTTGCCATATTTCCCTCAATTTATTTTTTATTTCTATTTTATTGCTTTTCTATGTAGAGGTTTTTCATTTTTAAGCAAACTAGTACATCTACCTATAATTACTTCTATTTGTTTAATAACTAAATGTGTATCTCCCCTGTACATTTCAGAGAAATTTATTATTCTGTCATTCTCTGTGTACTATTATAGCCTTTTCTGTCTATACTTTATCCTGAATTTAATGTGGTATATATTGTGAGGTTTGGATCTAAATTTTATATAAAAAATACTTTATCTCTTTTTTTACTTTCAAAAAAAATTCAAAGTAATTGAATTCAACAAATACTAGTGAAGTGTCTACTGATTGGTTGGTTCATTGTTGTTTTTCATTCCCAAAGAGGATCAAAATGACATCACTATGTTGGGGTCAAGGTACAGTGTATTTGACTGTGGCTGATCAGACCAATACGAGCTAAGAAGAAGGCTTTACCACGGGTTGAACACACATATGAACATTCGGAGTAGAGATGTCTCTAAATTTGTACATCTCACATTTCTTTTGAGCTACTTCAATTCTGCTTTTTTCATAGAGCACAGCGCCTTCTTTGATGTGGATACATCATGCCTGGTCATGTGCCAGTGTCTCTCATGTCTCGATTCCAAAGTTCTTCAGAGAGACCTTGAGAGTGCCCTTGTATCACTTCTTCTGGCCTCCATGTGAGCATTTGCCTTGTGTGAGTTCTGTGTAAAATAGTCTTTTAGGCAAACGTACATTTAGCATTTGAACATTGTGGCCAGCCCATCTGTGCTGCACTCTCTGCAGTAAAGTTTGAATACTTGGCAGTTCAGCTCCAGAAAAGACCTCAGTGTCCAGTGCCTTATCTTGCCAGATGATCTTCAGAATCTTCTTAAGACAATTCAAATGGAAGTGATTTCAGTTTCCTGACATGGTGCTGGTAGACTGTTCAGATTTCTACTATAGTATCTATTACGTTATAGTATCTACTATATGCAGGATGAAGGCAGCTAGGTAGATGAGTAGATAGAGCCTTGGGCCTGAAGTCAGGAAGACCTCAGTTCAATTAGGCCTCAGACACTTACTAGCTGTGTGATCCCGGGAAAGTCACTTAACCTTTATTTGCCTTAATCCACTGGAGAAAGAAATGGCAAATCACTCTAGTATCTTTGCCAAGAAAACTCCATGGTCAGTACTAACGTCACACAAAGTCAGACATGATCAAACTAAACAACAACAACATGTGAAAGATACTTTGCTAGACACCAGGAATCTAAAGCTAAAAATGAAACAATATCTACCCTCAAGAAGCTTACATTCTACTGAGTGGATACAACACATGCAAGAGTATGGTAGAAGAAAAATCAAGGAAATAAAGAACGTTGGAGACAGAGGGAATTAGGGAAGAATTAACAGAGAAGGAAACAGCTGAGCTTATCCTTGAGGGACAACAAGGTTTCTGAGAGGCAGAGATGGCAACATTCATTGCCATTCTAGACATGGGGAAAAGTTTGTACAAGTATATGTAGGTGGGAGACTGACTATTGAGTTTGGAGAATGGCCAGTCTGGTTTATCTGGAATGTAGAGCTTATGAAGGGGAATTGTATAAAATTAATCTGGAAAGAAATTCAATTTCTACCTTCACAACATCTCTCACCTATGACCTCTTCTTCTCTTGGTTCAAGCCCTCATCAGCAATTGCCTAGATTATTGCAAAGCAGCCTCTTAAGGGGCTTTCTTACCTCAGCAATCACCACTCCAGTCTCATCTACATAGGGCTGCCAAAGTGGCTTTCCTTAAGTGCAGATCTGACCATGTCACTCCCCTACACAATAATCCCCAGAATGTCCCAATGGGGAGATCTCTTGCCTCTAGGATATTCCATAAACATTTATTTATTTAATTACTTGCTCATGATACTTTTATTTATATATTTAACATATTTATATTTAATAGGAATAGGAAGTTGTACATAACAGATTTGCAGTTTCATGTACAATCATCTTTTTTTTATTATGCTGTGTTATAGAAATGCTTGTTTTATTACATAAATTAAAAATAAATTTAAAAATTGAGAAAATATAAAATGTAAAAAAAAATTGCCTGCTGTACACAGAAGCAATTAGTCAGTCAAACCACTTCTTTGAAGTGCCTACTATGTTCCAGGCACTATGCTAAGCAGCAGGGATACAAAGAAAGGGGATAAAGAAGTCACTGCTTTCCGGGAACTCATAATTTAATGAGAGAGACAAGGTGCAAATACTATGTACAAACAGTAGCTGAACAGGGTAGAAGCAAGGCACTAGA